ATATCGGGATATATCGTATCGTGACCCCTCTGTCATGAAATGTATCGTATCGACAAATTCTTGCCAATACACAGCCCTATTGATTACTGATTACCTCTAAAGCTGTTTTTGCTAATTCGTCTGCCTTTTCATTGTCTTTTACTCCTTCATGTTCTGCTACCCAACAAACCCAAATATCTAGGCCTCACTCTTCCTTCAGGGACAAAATCCTGGTCCCCATCAGGGGAAATACCGTAGGTGGGTCAGTCAGGGGTCCGGGTTAGGTCACAGAAATGACCAATAAATAAATGGAAGTCAATGCAAAGTCCCCATGAGGACAGAAGAACAAACGTGTGTGAAGGCATTAGAAATAAAAACACAAAACAAGACAACAGAAAAGGTAGAATCAAAAGTTTTACTTCATCGGTCACACGCCACCCAGCCCATCATTTTAAATCACAGCTATAAGTTAGATATTTACACCATTAAGGGCTTCTAATTTATTACACCGTGATCATTTTTAGAAAAAAAAAGCTAAACAGTTTTTTCTGTACAAAAAGCTGCAAACATTCTCATAAATACAACAGAACCTGTTCCCCTTTGAAGGCAGACACCTGAGCACCGTTCCTCTGAGCACGCCACAGGAAACTCTTCCTGTGAAAACATTCAGGAAGGATAACCAGTCTGGAACTGGTTAACAGCTTTCTAAAATCAGACAAACACACTTTCAGCTCTGCACCTCAGAGCTGATGAGGAGTGGATGTTGGTTTGCAGAAACAAGCAGACATGAAGCTGAAAACCAGGCGGAGCAGTTCGCTGTCATGACTGGTTCTGATCAATAAAATCTTTTAGTTACAAACTGATACACCTCCAATAAGATATAACAACTCTGGTCTGGTGTTCCTTTAATAAAATGTCAGATTTCAAACTGTAGAGTCCTTGTGCTTCATTTGATCTCTAACTTTTTGGTTGATTTCCATCATTATCTCCRTCTGAAAAGCAACAAAGACTGACTTTCAGAGTAAAACCAAACCTTCATCATCCAGTTTGTGTAAACACTGAGTGCCTGGAATCCTTCAAAATAAAGTTCTCTTCAATAACTAGTTAAAAAGATCAGCGTTGGAGTGACACTTCAGAAGTGCTTGAATCAAAAATGCTTAGTGTTGTTGGGATTCACAGAAAAAACAAAGAGAAAAAGACAGGAAGTAAACACAACCACCATAAAAGAAGAGCTCTGTTTGCAGGTCAGTGTTTGTCCAGCTGCTTCAGTCTTTATCAGCCAGTTCTGCTGCTCTCCTCCAGTTTAAGGTCCGGTAGAGTCCAGGACATCCTGGCCCGGCTCTCAGCTGCAGCTGAGTGCTGTGGACACATTCCATCAGGTCCAGTTCTTTAAAACAAACACCAGGACAAGTCTTCATACAGCAACAATGTTGTTCATCTCCCACTTCTGAGTGGTTTTACTGATGTCACAGTCTGATATGAAGACTTTGTGAAGCAGGTCCGAGCGGTCCAGACATTTCCCTGCAAGAAGACAAACAGCTGTGAGCGTTACTGCAGCCCACAGGTTGGTGTTCTGATTGGACCTGAACTTCTCAAAGGCTTTCAGCCACTCATTTCAGCTTGTGTTTCATTAACAAGGACAGGATGAACAAAAAACTACTGAAATCATGTCTTAACAATAAACTACTGAAATCATGACTTAACAATAAACTACTGAAATCATGTCTTATAACAATAAACTACTGAAATCATGTCTTAACAACAATAAACTACTGAAATCATGTCTTATAACAATAAACTACTGAAATCATGTCTTAACAATAAACTACGGAAATCATGTCTTAACAACAATAAACTACTGAAATCATGTCTTATAACAATAAACTACTGAACTCATCTCTTATAACAATAAACTACTGAAGTCATGTCTTTTAACAATAAACTACTGAAATCATGTCTTATAACAATAAACTACTGAAGTCATGTCTTATAACAATAAACTACTGAAGTCATGTCTTATAACAATAAACTACTGAAATCATGTCTTAACAATAAACTACTGAAGTCATGTCTTATAACAATAAACTACTGAAATCATGTCTTAACAATAAACTACTGAAATCATGTCTTAACAATAAACTACTGAAATCATGTCTTATAACAATAAACTACTGAAATCATGTCTTATAACAATAAACTACTGAAATCATGTCTTATAACAATAAACTACTGAAATCATGTCTTATAACAATAAACTACTGAACTCTTGTCTTAATCATAAAACATTGATGGGAACTACTTTTCCGTCTGCCTTGGTAATGTTTAAGTGGAGCGGCACATGATTCTCAGTCTGTCACTCAGACGTTACATGTTCAGTATTTTCATGTTAACATGTTCATGTTACATAAATTAAGACAGGTTTTCATTTATACTAGTTCTGGATTTTAAAAAACTTTTAGTTTTATTATTTGACTCCTTTTTTAATTGTTTATGACACCATTTTCACATTTTGCATGATTGTAGCTCAACTATATGAGAACGATACATCTTTATACTCCTGCATTCAAAATGAAAAATAAATGAATTTGATGTCTTGTATTCTTTATGGAGCAGTGATTTAAATACATGTACTAATGCTCAGATTGGCCCTTCTGTTGTCCTGGGCTTAAATAATTCTAAGATTCTCAGGGCTCAGATTAACCCAAGGACAGGGAGTGGTAATCTGACCGTGTACATACGCCCCATCTGGAGCGTCAACGGACATTCTCATCCAAGTCAGTGAATAATCTGACATAGAAGATGTGAGAAATTAAGCAGCTGTTACCTGTTGGCACRTGAGTGAACCGATGAAGATCCTGGAAAGACAGAAGCAAAAAGGTACATCAACCTTCACATCATAAGGCCACTTGCATCACTTCCTGTTATCACCCGCCTCTAATGGTGACAGCGGAGCCATTATGTTTTTGTTCTTGTCAGTGAATCAGATTCTGATCAAACTGTCAGAAGATGATCAGTGGTGAACACAGAACAACTATCAATCATCAGGAGAGAAATGAACAGCTCAGATCCTACAGAGTTCTGTAAACAAATAAAGAGCCACCATCTTTATTTACCTCAACTACTCAGATGACTTTCTTACAGCTTGGTCTTTATTTTCTTTTTAATAAGTACATTACATTTTTAGGCCTTAAACTTGAGTTATTTTGAATATTTTACAACACTGAGAGAAGCAGTCCATCATTGAGTGTGTGACTCTTACTTTGAAGTAGTTCCACTCAGTGTGCTGGTTCCGCTCACAGTGTGTGATGACGACAGCTGAGCTGTCTCCTCTGGTCAGGCAYTGGTCGTACTGCATCAACTGGTTGGCCTCATTGATACGGAACAGCTGCACACAAACAAGTTCTATTCAGTGCAGCATAAAGCACCTCCCTAACAACAACACAGCCCATCATCAGCCACCTACTGTATGTGCCTCTGAGCTCGCAGGGGCCGGYACAAAAACCTTTAATCTCTTCCTGGCACAAGCCTTGGTACTACCCTGCCTCAAGTCTGTAACTATAGTCCCTGTTCTGGATCTCAACCACAAACTGAAATGGAGCTGAAAATGTTTTAACAGCCAAACAGTTAATGTGAGTTCAATTTGAGAAGCTGAAAGAAGCACAAAAAAGCAGAAATGATCAGAAGAACAGCAGAAAAGAGCAGAATAATAGCTGAAAAAGCAGAAAATAGCTAAAATCCACATAAAAATAAACTAAAGGTAGCAGCCACAAGTTGAAATTAGCACCCAGATTGTGAAAGTGTTGTGAAAAAAATAATGAGGCAGATCAAACAGCATAAAACAGTTATAAAGTGACAATTTGTTGTAAATTAGCTAAAACAGCTGAAATTTTCAGTAAAACAGCTAAAAAGGAGCTGGAATTTTTAAAATTAGCATAAAGAAGCATAAAGAGCACAAGTTTGCTGAACTTCACAGAAACTAATTGTAATAGCCACAAAAAAACATGTATTTAGTTTTAAAAAGCTAACTTTACCTGATAACAGTTGAACATTAGCTAAAATGGCAGCAAAAGCTGAGTATAGCAGAAAACAACTGTACGAAGCAAAAATTGCTCAAACTAGCAGAACGAAGCACAAAAAAATCAGAACGAAGCAGAATAATTACWAAAATTGCTGAAAAAAGCTTAAATTCTCCATCTCCTTCCTCTTATCTGTAGTCTGGTCGCGGAGGCAACAGGTTCAGGAGAGAAACTCAGACATCCCTCYCCCCAGTGACGTTTTCCAACTCATCCTAGGGGACCCCAAGGCGTTCCCAGGCCAGAGAGGATACATAATATCTCCAGCGAGTCCTGGGTCTTCCCTAGGGCCTCCTACCTGTGGGACGTGCTCAGAACACCTCTAAAGGGAGGCGTCCAGGAGACATCCTAATCAGAAGAACCTCCTCAACTGACTCTGTTCGATGTGGAGGAGCAGCGGCTCTACTCCGAGCTCCCCCCGGATGATGAAGCTCCTCCCCCTATCTCTAAGGTTGAGCCGGCCACCTCACGAAGGAAGCTCATTTTGGCTGCTTGTATACGGGACCTCATTCTTTTGGTCATGATCCACGCCTCATGACTATAGGTGTGGGTTGGAATGAAGACAGACCAGTAAATCCAGAGCTTTGCCTTTTGACTCAGCTCTTTCTTCACCACGACTGGCCGAAGCAACGCCCTTATTACTGAGGACGAGGCCCCAATTCCATCTCCCGCTCCATCCTAACATCACTCATGAACAAGACACCCAGATACTTAAACTCCTTCATTTGAGGCAGAGACTCTCCCTTTGTGCCAAGAATGCGAACACAGCTCCTGTTTTGGTTTTATAGGGACTGGATCGCTCTTAGTAGCAACCCAGGCACTCCATACTCCTGCAGCACCCCCGACAGAAATCCTTGAGGAATACGGTCATAAGCCTTCTTCAAGTATACAAAACACATGCAGACCGGAGAGGCAAACTCCCACGACCCCCTTAGCAACTGTACAAGGATAAAGATCTGGTCCACTGTTCCACGCCCAGGACGAAAGCCACACTGCTCCTCTTGAATCCGCGGTTCGACAATCAATCGGAGCCTCCCTTCCAACAACCTCGAGTAATCTTTCTTGGGGAGGGCAAGAAGTGTGATCCCATGATACTTAGAACACACACTCTGGTCCCCCTTTTTTAAAAATGGGAACCACCACCCTGGTCTGCCACTCCACAGAAGTTGTCCCAGTCCTCCATGCGATGTTGAAGAGACGTGTCAACCATGACAGCCCCACAACATCCAGAGCCTTCAGCATCGCAGGGTGAATCTCCTCCAACCCTGGCRTCCTGCCACCAAAGGAGCTTTTTGACTACCTCGGTGACCTCTGCCATGGCAATGGACTCATCTTCCACCGAGTCTTCAGACTCTACCTCCTCAAAGGTAGACATGGAGGGTAGATTCAGGAGATCCTCAAAGTGTTCCTTCCACCATCCAACGATATCCTTAGTCCTGGTCAGCAGTTCTCCATCCAAACCAAGTACAGCCTGGGACAGGGAACACTTTCCTTTTCTGAGTTCCCGAACTGTTTGCCAGAGCCTCCTCGAGGCCAATCGAATGTCCTTCTCCATGGCCTCCCCGAATCCATCCCCCCGACCAGGTTTTTGCATCCACAACCACAGAAGTTGAAACCCTCTTTGCCACCCTGTACCTGTCAGCTGCTTCAGGAGTCCTCCAGGAAAGCCAAGTGTGGAAGGCCTTCTTTTTCAGCCTGATGGCCTCCATCACCGCCTTTGGTTGCTGCCGCGACAGRCATCGATGACACTTAGGCCACAGCTCCTGGAAGCTGCATTTGCTATGGAGGCCCCGAACAAGGCCCATTCAGATTCCATGCCCCTGACCTCCCCTGGGACATCTGAAAAACTCTCCCGGAGGTGGGACTTGAAGATCGCACGGACAGGAGGCTCTGCCAAACATTCCCAGTTCACCCTCACTATACGATTGGGTTTTCCAGGTCTGTCCGGCAGTCTCCCCTGCCACCAGATCCAACTCACCACCAGGTGGTGATCAGTTCACAGCTCTGCCCCTCTCTTCACCAGAGTGTCCAAGACATAGGGCCGCAGGTCCGATGACACGATTACAAAATCGATCATCGAACTGCGGCCTAAGGTGTCCTGGTACCAAGTACACTTATGGACCACCATATGCTCAAACATGGTGTTTGTTAAGGACAACCCATGCTTAGCACGGAAGTCCGATACCGTTTGGGTTAAGATCAGGGAGGCCGTTCATTCCAATCACCCCCTTCCAGACAACTCCATCATTGCCTACATGGGCATTGAAGTCACCCAGCAGGACAAGGGAGTCTTATGACGGCAACCCCTTGCAGGACACCATCCAAGGACTCCAAAAAGGCCGGGTAATCTGAACTGATGTTTGGCGTGTAAGCACAAACAACATGCTGCCTTCCTGAAATTTGGTATGCTTGTTTGTCTTTGTGTCTATGGTGTATAATGATGTGATTGTGATGCTGTATTTCTGAGTGTTTTATGTGCTGCAGAACAGGAACCTGCTGTAAAACAGCAATTATGCTGAGTCAGGCTTGATTTTCAGTAACCTTTTCCTGTTGAATCAATAAATCAATCAAATCAAACAGTCAGAACCTTCCTTCGTGCAGCATGAAGCCCCAGAAAGGCAACACTCTCATCCACTGGAGTGAACTCCAACACAGAGGCACACAGTCAGGGTCTTGAGTATCCCCACACCCATCCGTCGCCCCTCTCCTGGGCAACTCCAGAGTAGGAGAGAGTCCAGCCCTTCTCCAGGAGTTGGTTTCAAGAGCCCAAGCTGTGAATTGAGGTGAGCCAAACTACAGTGGTTTGCAAAAGTATTCATACCCCTTGAACTTTTCCATATTTTGTCACATTACAACCACAAACATAAATATATTTCACTGGAATTT